AATAACGTAATAAAACTAAACGCTGAGCGTAGTGCAGCGTATAGTATAGTAGATAATAAAATGATAAATACAGTATTTTCAATGTTAATAAGTGAAATAAATTGTAGTTTGTCAAAAAAAAAAATTCCAACGATAAAAATGTTAATGATAAAGTAAAATTCCCATCTTCGTATGCGCTTTTTCAAATGTTTAAGATAACAAGTACATTTGATTAAATTATTAAATTCATGGCCCACAGAGATGGTGGCAATGTCGAGATTATATCTATATATCGGCTATCGAATATTATGTCTATCTTAAAGATATAAAATTTACAGTAAATTTTGATAATTTTGGTATGTTACCATAAGGAGACCCTCAGTAACTTCTCTCTGCCATTTTTCATGAATTAATTCAATTATGGTAATGCTTATTTTTATTATCTACTAGATAATATGATGTTCATGATATCATACATGTATTACTTAATAAGTACCTAGTAGTTGATATATTTTATATAAACATAAATATTAAAATAAAGCTGATACTGCGGACGGGTGCCGCTAATATTGTCGATAGGTAGTAGGGAAGGGATTTAATATATACCTGTAATCAACGATAAACCATTGATGACAAAAATCGATTCGGCGAAGTATGGTTGTACATGTTTTGTTATATTTACAATTTTCGTTAAAATTTCCTAATAAAAAAAAATACTACATAAAGCTAAAATTTTTTTTTTTTGACCACAAAAAAAGAAATTAAAGGAATTTCCCGTTATATTTTCAAATATTTCTGTGTCTTACAATTGTATCCAAAGAGTGCCTATCGAATACAAATTACGTACACAACTCTTAAATTTCAAACGTCTATAATTAGCTCAAAAATGGATGAAATATTTTGAAAATTATACTATGTCTACGAAAAGCAAATATAAGACTTCTGTCAAAATGTCAAGTCTTTATAAATATATTAAACTAAATTATATTAAAAAAACAAAATTGAAAATAATAAAATAATAATTTTTGTACATTTTCCTGTACTTTCTGCATTATTTTTCATGGTAGCTTCATTATTAAAAAACTACAAAGAAAATCAAATGACAACTTTCATATTTACTAACGAGATTACAATTCCACCAAAAAAGATCGCTTGATGTTTTTTAATTGGTGTAATATTAATGATAGGAAACGTAAATCATACAAATTTAAAATAATTAAATCATAACACCGTAAATTTGCCAGTTTCAATTTTACGTTCTTTTCCTAATTATTAATAAAACTACGGAGAAAACCAAAAAAAAAAAAAAACAACATAATTATGAAATAGATGAAAAATGGAACAAAAAAGGTCTCTTGTCATTTATCTAATGGGAGCACTATTTATGATAGAACACATAAGCCGTGAAAATTTAAAATAATGACATTCGGGAGCACATGAATTCGATTTGTTTAATAGTGTTGTAGAATATTTGACTTTGACTTTGTCTCGAACGTCGTAAACGACCTCTAAGACTCTGATAAAACGTTTCGAAACAAACAAGGTCAATAATAATACTAATATTTTAATACGTTTGATAATGTAGGCAGCGGTTGTTTACGGGGTTTCCTATCGGTGTTTATTTGACCCGAGTATTAAACAAAGTCACACATCCGGCCGAAGAACCGAAAACTCGCATTCGAAATTACTATCTCTGTATTATTATCTGCATACGGCACACGTACTCCGCGATAAAATTTTAAACTAATTAATTAAACAACATAAAATAACGGCTGTTTATTCGTAAAATAATCGTTACTGTTGTATTTAAATAAATTTACGAACGTTTCGTTAATATAGCTACCGACATTCAAATATCGAAACCTTATGAAATTATTGTCAATAATATTTTATCTTTAATTGATTTTTTCAATAAATCACTTATCTGTATCGTTTTTCTGATGTTATAATTCATAACGTATTCCTAACGAGTAGTAGCAATAAAAGTACCTACTTACGCGTGGATTGACGGTGTAATATTAAAAAACGATAAATCGTATAGTTTTTAACGGGAATTACGGAAATTAGAATCCCGTACAACGAACAATAATGATAAAAACTTAAAAATTATAACCTATAGACTGGGGACAAGTGTGCCACTGTTATTGTAGGTGAGAAGTTAGGAAGGTATAGGATGCATGAAGTTATTCGATTTATATCCATAAACAACGATAAACCATTGCTTATGAATTCTGGGTAAAGTTCGTTTATATGAATGATAACATTCATAACATGTTAGATAAAATATGAACGATGATTGTCCGGTCGTTATATCCGATTCGGTGACAATCATTTTACATTCGACAATATTCGAATAGGTAATATGCACACCACAGTATTACATTGCAATTAATAAGATCGATTTGTTTTTAAATATGAATACAATTTTTATCTAATTTAGAGAATCTTTAAGTGTAGCGAAGATGTGGTTTTACAAAGTTATTTATTTTTTTTTTTTTCAGGAATGTGAAGAAATCGGAAAGTGAAGATAGGAAGACCTAGGGAGGTAAATTTTCGATTTTCTTAAGAGTTTTCTCATGAAATGTGAAAAACTGAAAAAAAATGTGAAAATGTACGAAATATATTAGTAAAATATTACAGCCTTTTTTTTTTCCTGAGAACAACTTTTCTACTAGCAATTTAGCAATTTTACGATGATAGCATTTTTTCTAAAAGGAAATGTATTTGGGGAGTTATTTTAAGGCGGTAATTGTTTTGATTTTCCACAAGAATTTTCCCAATAATTTGAAAAAACCAAGAAAAACAATGATATTTTATAACGTTTGTAATACGTACACATTTTTTCGTTAAGTACCTGTTATGGATATGTACATATTTGACAATATATCTACCAAGGAAACGACCGGGTTTTGAAAACGAGTTTGAAAACCAGAAAAAAATCAAAATCGGATTAAAAGACCGAAACGCGGGACCCGAATAATGCGTGAACTCGTTTTGATATCCATACACCAAAACCTGACAAAAAAGAATTCCGGTTTATCTTTACATTTTACACTCTACTGTTAATGGAGTTTAAGTGATTAATGACGATGATTTGTATAATTCTGATTAAAACGGTACAATTTTTATTTTGCATGTTTATATACATTTTGAATAAAATATATATTTCTACCATAGCTGGAATAAAATTAATATTATTGCGTATTTTAACAAAATTCCTGTTTTAAGACATATTTAGTTACAAAACGTAAAATGGAATATTATGTACACAAAAATACCTAGTGGTATTTAATATATTTTATGTCATTATTTTCGTAAGCACCAATGTCAATCTAACAAAAAATACCTATTGTGCAACCATAATGAACGACTAAAAATTAGTATCTGTTTTGGCATGGTCATCGTCTTATATAGAGTGTGCGTTACCGTTAACCTATTGTGGACTGGGTTTTCATTGACTATGTTTAATGTAGGTTTGCACTTAGAACCCATAATTTTTCAGAACCAACGTAAAAACATGTTGCTATTTTTGTATAAAAAGAACCAATTAGAAGGTTCCATTTGCGTCTGTGACTGGTTTAAAATAAGGAATGTTACGCTTTCATGTACCTAAAAATTAAAGCCCGATTAGAAACCGAAACTCGACAAAAGCGAAATGAAATTGATTCCCTACTCATACAAATATGCTATATAATCCACTGGCCGTTCCAATAGGAGGATCACTCTCTGCTTGATTTGGATTTATGTGTATACACGTAGTCACTCTAATAAAAAGTAATGGAATATTATTCGTCCAATAGTGAATCGTGGATATCACTTCTTCACTGATGCCTTATCATAAAATTGCCGTCAAAATACTCATTGATAAGAAAAACAAAGGCGATGAGCGATTTAATAGATACTTTTTTTTTATTAAGTGTGTAAGTACTTATATATATTTTAGAAGATAATTATTGTTTTTTTATTGATATCATTTTTATGTGGTAAAGCATAAACAGCGGTTTAGCTACTTTGGCTTTATAACTTATGGTAATCATGGTAAAATAAAATAGATTCTTATATCCCTGAAAATGGGGGGGGCGAGTTAAGTGAGTTGTACGTATATAATATTGGAAATATTTTCGTCCCCCTTCCATTAGATGCTTTTCAAGAACCACCCCCGTATAATCTGATCCCAAATGATAATAATGAAAATATCGAAGTACAAAATATGGCAGAAAAAACCAAATCGTTTATTATACGTCAAGTATAATGATAAAAAATACAAATAAAAATAATAATAATAAAAAATTGCGACGGCGGCGGCCACCCGGCCCGATCTATCGGTCAACGGCGGCAAACCAGTCTGACGATAACGACCTATTATAATATGCTGTTTTCATGCATATTACCTTCAACCGCATTTCGCATAAATATTATAATATAATATCTGCTATATTGTATATATGGGTATACTTATTTATGTTGTTATGGTAATCGTACGACTTGCAAAAAAAAAAACTCGATTGTACAGGTCGCATTCGTTTTACCAGTTTGCACGATGCAATTCTCCGCTACAGTACGCTCTTGGCCCGTGTGCACGATACACGGGTCCTGGGACGCATTTCGTCCGATCGTTTCGCAATGTTTTTTTTCACCTTGTTTTTTCTATAGTTTTTCACTTGTTTTTCAGTCCGCGGTGTTCGAGAAGCGATGCCGGCCAACGGTGAACCAATAAGAATTAACAATGAATCGTGTGTATAATTATAATAGTCGTAGTGCGGACGAGGATGGGTCGTGTTTTTTGAAATATATCGCTGCAGTGAAACTACTAGAAAATTCGCCGGACTTCAGACTACTGCCGGGATCGGTGTTGCGGTTTTTCCACCGGCCGTTACGTTTTTTTTTTTTGTGTGGTAGAGAATAGTTTACGGCGAAACGGTTCGGTTCAATCGAAAATACGATTATTAGACATTTTAAGATAAGTGGGTATACAAACGGGCCGAAGGCAACGAAGACGTCGGTGATGTGCAGAGAGATCGAAATATTCGGATGTTAAGAGAATAATAATAGGTATAACAGTAGGTTAAACCGATTATTAATATTAAGACTGGACGAAGACAAATATCTCTATATTAAAAAAAATATGATATATATTGTGTATAATAAATTATTAATAACAGCAAAAAAAATTTTTTTTTTAAATAAAAAGATCGGTAAAAAGCAATTTCTTAATAATTTAATAAATTAATATGTACGGTTAAGTCTTATTGCATGAGATAGGAGAATATTATATTTTAATTAATCAATTCTCATATTATGTTTTTTTCGTTCTAAATATTATATTAAATTATACAATATTGTAGGTACTTTATCAAATTATTATTATTATTACACTACAATTTAATAACAACAAAGTTGTCTTAAAGCTAAAAGATTAATGTTATCTAGCACAAATGCTTAAAAAAAAAAAAAAAATAATACGTTACAAAATTATTTTCAATAATTATTAATTATATACTGATAACTATTATTATTATTATTATTACTTTTTTAATAAACTATATAATATTCTATTTCTCTGTAATACAACGTTATGATTTTCATCATTAAAATGTTTTTATTTTCCGTACTACATAAAACATATTAAAAGTATAAAATATGTATAAAGTAAATTAATATATGCATAAAGAAATGTATGTATAAAACTAAAATAAATAAATGAATCAATGCATCGCCTGGAGTTTTATGATAAGTGTATTATACGACCGGTTTCGAATTAAAAATTCATCAGGTATATCACAGTCGAATGTAAACTGTGACAGAATATAAAAAATTAAATTAAAGAATATATAGAAAAAAAAAAATTAAAAATTGGTCGTTTTACATAGAATATAGAAATAATTTATTTTAATCGGACAGATTATTTAAAATTACTTATTATTAGACATAGATATGTTAAAAAATATAAATTATATGATTATTATTTATTATCTAAAATGCATTGATGTAAGATATTATTTTTAAAATCGGTTTGAACATTTAAAAAAAATTATTAAAATTATTTTTCTTTATTTCATTGTGAATGTGTAATTCTTCTAAAATTAAATTAATGTAAATGTTTTTTTTCGGTATTAAATATTTCTAAGTCTGTATTAATATGAAAACTTATATTATGGTTATTTTCTGAAACATGTTCAGCGAAGTTTGAATTAGGGAAAGTCTTTTAATTTAATTTCCGAAATGTTTTCTTTATATCTTATTTTAAAATTTCTATTTGTCTCACCTATGTAAAATTCATTACAGTTACATGTAAGTTTATATATACCAGCATTTTCAAAAGAAGGGGGATTTTTTCTAAAGTATTTAGTTCTATTGTTTATATGTTTGATTAAATTATTATTAGTCTTAAAAGCGATTTTTACATTATTTGTATTTGTGTTCAGAATTTTAACGAATTCGTTAGACATATTATTTTAATGCTTTATACTAAAATAGTTTACAACATAATTTGGTGAGTTTTGTATTATTTTTTCTTTAATACGTTTATGAATTTTTTTAATAGTATTTAAATTGAAATTATTTTTTTGGGCTATATTATAGATAATATTGAGCTCGTGTTAATAATTACGTTTATTTAATGGAATACGTTCAAGCTTATAGAATATTGAATTGAAAAATTTGATAAAACATTTTCTCAAATGTTTTGAGAATAAGAGTGATTAGGAATCATATGGTATTATAGTATCATTTTGTGTAGATTTCCTGTAAATACTAAAATACGTACAATATTGTGTTTGTTAATAAGTATATTAATATTTATTTGGTAACTATGTAAATTCGTGTGAGTCTTTTATTGATAAAATATGTAATTTAGCAAAAAAAAAGTTTTAATTTCAAATAATTATAAAATAACGGAAATTTATTATGATTAACCGAACTTCACAGAATATTGTTTTTCGTTAGCTGACGACACACCCAATTTAATTACGTCGCTATCATTAGCTGGTTTTAGACAAGTTATCTTTCTAAAAGGTACATTTTTTTCATCCCTTACATTGTTCTCGTTGTTGTCGATAGGGTATTATGGACAGTTGCGAGAACAGTTTATCCAGGTTCGAACCCAACAACTGTTAAACAGAAATTTTTTGCACTTTTTTCGTTTTTTTTTTCCGTTTTTACCCTATCTGCTTTTGCATACAAATCATTGTGTTTTTTCAATTAAAAGTCTAACATGCGTTAGAGAAATTATCGTATATAAGTGGGTGGCGAATTTTTTTACTACGATGATTAAAAAACAGTGTCAAACGTGATATTTGAATAACGCCCAATTTTAAATTGGCCAATCAGTTATCATATTTTACACCGTGTAATTAAAATCATCTAGACGAGTGGCCTTCAACCTTTTTGGACTCACAACATACTTTTTTAGACATACATTTTTCGTAACTCACGTGAGGCCGATCGCACATCTAAAGAGTAAAACTGCGTTTGTAGAAAAACATAAAAAAAAAAATTCTAAAATTACTTAATACTTTGTAGTAGTACTATTATAACTGAATAAATAAAAACTACATTGTTGACGAAATAAACGAAAATAAACTTTAAACAAATACGTAAATATGACTTGAATAATATCGCAACTAACATGTTTTATAATACTTTGTCTTTAAACACAGCAACAACGTCAATAATGTTCGTAGATTATGGGGCTCTTTAACGATAACAATATATAAATTTTATGACTAGCCCTGTTTACTCGTTAATTAATATTCAATGTCATTCTACGTAGAATCATACTAGTATATGAAACACATAGTGTGATTTGATATCTATTATAATATTATATTATAGAATATATTTAATTACATAATGTATTCCTATAATTTTTTAACTGTATTTTCATTAATCAATTTTTTAAGTTTAATAATTAAACAATTATTTGTATACCTTATATAATTGTATAAAATTAATTTTTTATTTTAAAAAGAAATCTTATCGCGACCCAATTCTAAAACTTACGGAACCCAAAAATGAGTCACGACCCACCGGTTGAAGACCACCGATCTAGACAAAGCCCCGTGGTATAGAATTATTAAAACGATAATAATAAAACGCCCGTTTTGCCATTCAAACTAATGTTAGTTTTTACATTTAACATTTATTTTTTATTTATATAGCAATAGTTTTCCCTTTTTAGATTCTGAGTGGAGCGAATATGTTTATGCTTTTACAAAGATGTTTTTTTTTAGTTTTTTTTTTTGTGCACTCTGAACAATCTAGATAGTCGCTCAAATAATTTAATATAACAAACAAACCAGTTAATCATTCGATTTTTCGGTGATAAAGATTAAATATTCATCAATAATTGTTAATTTTCTTTTGTCCGTAATTTTAGAATGCTATTTCGTTAATACAGTGAATCTGTATAGTAATTTTTCCCCGCATTTTTTGGTGGAAGAGGAGGGAGAGTGAGTAATTATATTTAGGCCAACCACGTATAATTAATTTCACTATAGTCCTAGTGCCGTAATTAAATACGCTACTATGATTAGTAGGTTTAGGGCAGGTAATCTTCCTAAAAGGTACATTTTTTTCATTCCTTACGTCTCCTCTCGTTGTTGTCGATAGAGTGTTATCGACAACTGTGGGAGCGGTTTTGCCAAATTCAAACCAAACTATAGAACAATTTTTCTTTTCTCCGTAATTTTAGAATGCGATTTATTTAATATCATGAATTTAATTATCGATTTTTTTCGATTTTTTTCATTAAGAGAGAGAGAGGTATTTTAATCTGTGTCGGGTACGTATATTGAAAGCCTCTGTAGCCCTATCATACGCTGTTATCAATATGCTGGTTTGAGAACATAAAAAGGTTAAATGGTACATTTCTTAAAATACTGAAGTCTAAAATATACTTAAAAAATTCGAAAGATCAGGGTTTGAATGTTACCATGGAAATAGGGTGAGTATGCTTAACAAATCACCCCATATATAACCATTTTGGGATCGGTAAAAATTAAATTATCATTTAGAAGGTCGTGACAGTAAAAATATTGAGAAACACTGACTGTATTTAGCGATAATCACGCGTATCGAACAACGCCCAATTTCCATACATCAAACCCGCGTTGCGGTTTGCCCGAAAACAAGCGTTCGATTGTTTACAGGAAATACGCTTGGTGAAAAAATAATAATACGGTTCCTACGACATAATATAATATTACAATATTGTTTATACTACTGTTTATTTACTCGTTAGATCGTGTAGGATGAATGTTGTGTTTTACGCCTACGCGCCCCCGTAACGAAATCGTACCTAATCATTATCGGGATAATTGTTCGTTTTATTTTGTCACTGTCGTTTATAACCATTAATAGAGACCTCTTTTTTAGACGACATTTTATTGAAATTATATCAGTGTCTGAGGCGGGAGGCGGACTACAAGAACTATGCTCGCTTACGGGGGAATGGGTACGGTCTTTTATATAGACAAATATGCCGAAAATGACCGAGACGAAATTTACGGATGCGATTTTAAATACCTATACAGAATGTCCCATAAAGATATAACCATTGTAATATCTCCAAAGATAATAAAAATTATCAAATATTGTTTTTTTTTCTTTTTATAATATTACTGGAAAAAGATGACACATAAAAATTTAAAAAAAAAATACTTTTATTTTACTATTATAAAAATTTAAAAATAGTAATTTTATAGGGATTATTCTTTTGAAAATTTGAATGTATCAACTTTTTATTTTCATTAAATTCGCGATTTTTAATAATTTTTTAGAGTTCAGGGAAACAAAGTGTAGTGTCAATTAATCGTAATAATAATAATCAATTAGATAATGTGATTACAGTATGCTGCATAATTATATATATTTTTCTTTGAATTTTAAACAATATTATTAAAAATCACGAATTTAATTAAAATAAAAAGTTGATACATTCAAATTTTCAAAAGAATAATCTTTATAAAATGAATATTTTTAAATTTTCAGACATTTTTAACATTTCAACATTTTTAGAAAACTAAACTATAAAATAGTTATCTTACATTTGTTCAAAAAAATAAAATAATGTTATTTCTTTAAATTATTTACCAAAACATAAACAATTTATTGTAATATTCATATTTATCGTCCTGTACCCAGTGATTAATATAAAAAAAAAACCAGAATTTGATTATCATTATTATCTCCGAAGATATTACAATGGATGTATTTTCATGGGACAACCTGTATCTATTTTATTACTTCGA